GGCTACTCTATCGTTGAGCCTGGTTGTTACGCGATTGATGCCTCTATTGATAGATGGGTCGGGCCATTTCTATCGTTGAGCCTGGTCGTTACGCGATTGATGCCTCTATTGATAGATGGTTTGGGCCATCTCTGTCGTTGAGTCTGGTCGTTACGCGATTGATGCCTCTATTGATAGATTGTTTTGGCCATCTCTATCGTTGATCCTGGTCGTTACGCGATTGATGCCTCTATTGATAGATTGTTTTGGCCATCTCTATCGTTGATCCTGGTCGTTACGCGATTGATGCCGCTATTGATAGATGGTTTGGGTCATCTCTATCATTGATCCAGGTCGTTACGCGACTGATGCCGCTATTGATAGATGGTTTGGGTCATCTCTATCGTTGATCCAGGTCGTTACGCGATTGATGCCGCTATTGATAGATGGTTCGGACCATCTCTATCGTTGAGCCAGGTCGTTACGCGATTGATGCCGCTATTGATAGATGGTTCGGGCCATCTCTATCATTGATCCAGGTCGTTACGCGATAGATGCCGCTATTGATATATGGTTCGGGCCATCTCTATCGTTGATCCAGGTCGTTACGCGATTGATGCCGCTATTGATAGATGGTTCAGGCCATTTCTATCGTTGAGCCTGGTCGTTACGCTATTGATGCCTCTGTTGATAGATTGTTTGGGCCATCTCTATCGTTGATCCTGGTCGTTACGCTTTTGATGCCTCTATTGATAGATTGTTTGGGCCATCTCTATCGTTGAGCCTGGTCGTTACGTGACTGATGCCTCTATCGATAGATTGTTTGGGCCATCTCTATCGTTGAGCCTGGTCGTTACGCTATTGATGCCTCTATTGATAGATTGTTTGGGCCATCTCTATCGTTGAGCCTGGTCGTTACGCGATTGATACCTCTATTGATAGATTGTTTTGGCCATCTCTATCTTTGAGCCTGGTTGTTACGCGATTGATGCCTCTATTGACAGATGGTTCAGGCCATCTCTGTCGTTGAGCCAGGTCGTTACGCGATTGATGCTTCTATTGACAAATGGTTCGGGCCATTTCTATCGTTGAGCCTGGTCGTTACGTGATTAATGCCTCTATTGACAAATGGTTTGGGCCATTTCTATCGTTGATCCAGGTCGTTACGCGATTGATGCCTCTGTTGATAGATGGTTCGAGTCATTTCTATCTTTGAGCCTGGTCGTTACGTGACTGATGCCTCTATTGATAGATGATTTGGGCCATCACTATCGCTGAGCCTGGTCGTTACGTGATTGATAGCTCTATTGATAGATGGTTCGGGCCATTTCTATCGTTGAGCCTGGTCATTAGGTGATTGATACCTCTATTGACAGATGGTTTAGGCCATCTCTATCGTTGAGCCTTGTCGTTACGTGATTGATGCCTCTGTTGATAGATGTTTCGGGCCATCTCTATCGTTGAGCCTGGTCGTTACGCGATTGATGCCGCTATGAATGTATGGTTCGGGCCATTTCTATCGTTGAGCCTGGTCGTTACGCGATTGATGCCGCTATTGATAGATGGTTTTGGCCATCTCTATCGTTGAGCCTGGTCGTTACGTGACTGATACCTCTGTTGATAGATGGTTCGGCCATCTCTGTCGTTGAGCCAGGTCGTTACGTGATTGATGCCTCTGTTGACAGATGGTTCGGGCCACCTCTATCGTTGAGCCTGGTCGTTACGTGATTGATGCCTCTATTGACAGATGGTTCGGGCCATTTCTATCGTTGAGCCTGGTCTTTACGCGATTCATGCCTCTATTGATAGATGGTTTTGGCCATCTCTATCGTTGAGTCTGGTTGTTACGTGATTGATGCCTCTATTGCAGATGGTTCGGGCCATTTCTATCGTTGAGCCTGGTCGTTACGTGATTGATGCCGCTATTGATAGATGGTTCGGGCCACCTCTATCGTTGAGCCTGGTCGTTACGCGATTGATGCCGCTATGAATAGATGGTTCGGGCCATCTCTATCGTTGAGCCTGGTCGTTACGTGATTGATGCCGCTATTGATATATGGTTCGGGCCATCACTATCGTTGAGCCTGGTCGTTACGCGATTGATGCCTCTGCTGATAGATGGTTTTGGCCATCTCTGTCGTTGAGCCTGGTCGTTACGCGATTGATGCCGCTATTGATAGATTGTTTTTGGCCATCTCTATCGTTGATCCTGGTGGTTACGCGATTGATGCCTCTATTGATAGATTGTTTTGGGCCATCTCTATCGTTGAGCCTGGTCGTTACGCGATTGATGCCTGTATTGACAGATTTCGTTTCTCTTCCTTATAAAGTTTTGACCTACATGTGATGGAGTAGGCATCTCTGTAGGCGAGGCATAACGTGTACTCGTGAAATGGACTTGTTCCATCACAGACAACCTTTACTGATGCGCGTCAGTGATCTGACGAAATGAACGTGTTAGTGGGCAGTACAGGGGTTCAAGACAGACACTATCACAGATACCCTATATACTGACCTCGTATCAATGAACTTACGAAATGAACGTGATCGTTGACAGTGCAAGTTTAAAAGACAGACGGACAAACTGGAAATATTTGTTCGAAACTGGAATTGTAACCAAATTATTTTAGCAAACATTTTGTGCAATTTCGATTCATAAACTTGACTCAGATAATAATTTTTCCACAAATGATTTGTTTGGATGGAAGACGATATATAGGGTGCGTCTCTGGCATCTCTGGCGTCTCTGGCGTCTCTGGCATCTCTGGCGTCTCTGGCATCTCTGGCACAAAGGTCCGAATCCCAAGTGAATAGAAAACACACATACACCCCACCACCACCCAGCAACAAACACACACATACACACACGCAACAAAACCACACACACACACACACACACACACACACACACACACACGCGCACGCACGCACGCACGCACGCACGCACACACACGCACACACACACCACCACCACCACCACACACCACACACACCCCATGGGTGCATGTACAATCATATCGGGAGTATGGGTAACGTCCCGAGAACGCGTGTTTTATTGAGTATCTGATCTGGAGGGTACCGTTCAACTACGGAAACCTGGATGGGACATCGTTAACCCTACCACACCGTACACAAATTTACCAGTTTAACTATCGCACGGCATTGCCATGCAGCAACGCGACATTTGACCATTTATCGCATTATCGGACTGGGGTTTAGATGACATTTTATAGTTTTACCAAAGCTTGGTGTCATTCTTCGTTAACGTCTTCCGTTTTTACATGTATGTTTAAGCGCGTCAACGCGACAATGTCCCTTCAAGGATTCCATACTCAGCAGCAGTTCTCACGTCTCGAGTTCTACGTGATCATAACAGTACAAACAGTGTTTGCCTTCACTGACAGTGGGTTCTCCAACACTCCACTGAGTACAACGAACAACACAACACTTATATGGTATGTCATGTGCAGTACACTCAAGGGCAAACTTAAACTGCTCCGAAATATCCAAACTCTCAGAATTGAAAGTATATTGAATCTTATTATCTTCTTTTTTCCACATCGTATCCTTAGCAGCCTTTAAACTTCGTGAGTTATTTAGACATCTTTAGAAATTCGCCACGAAAATACTCCAAACTGTTCTCCACACATTTAGTAAATTCTGCTTTAGATTGGTCCAACTTTCACCAAATCTCGTCTGACTTACTCTGATCCATGTTACAAACATATAGCTGTTAATACCTGACTCGATGCGGAAGGTCGCGGGTTCGATCCCCAACCGCGTCAAACCAAAAAGACGTTAAAATATGGTATTTGTTGGTCCCTGCCTGGCGCTCGGCATTAATGGGTACAACAAGGACTGGTCGGCTCGGAGTCAGTATGATGTGTCTGAGTGGGGTATTCATGCTTCACTGCGGCATGGTATCTCAGTGGGCTAGCACTATAAAACCAGCTTCAGTCTGGGTTAGTACAAGCAGCTGCACATACACATACACACGCATGCACGTCGTCATATGAGCGAAATATTCACAAGCACGACGTTAAACCCAATTCCACCACCACAACCTGAATCGAGCGTACCGCAACTGAGAATGTCCCTTCAAGGATTCCATAGTCAGCAGAAGTTCTCCCGGCTCGAGTTCTACGTGATTATAACAGTACCCGCAGTGTTTGCCTTCACTGACAGTGGGATCAATGGGATGTACAGAAATGATGTCAGGGCGATGACACCGTGCTGTCTCGAAGGAATGAGCTCTTAGGGTTAATGGACGAAGACACCCGATATCCATTTTCCGGTGAATATATTGCACAACCCGTACTGACTGAGAAGAAATTGGTGTGCGATGAAGTGTATATACTGGGAGAAACAAAAAACGGAACACCACTTGATCGCTGTGTATATTTGCTTATTCCCTGATTTCCATTCACAGTGTAAAACAAAGCATGCAGGAAAAGAATAAAGGAACACTTGCACTTGTATGTGTTTCCTTATATATTTTCCCCAGAATTATGCCAATTAAGAAGAGGAACCCTCTTGTCTTCAGATACAATTGATTATGACATGGAGTAATATTTGTATAAAATAATCGATATATGGTTACATATATATGCTTGGTGATTCTTGTACAATACACCAGATCAGGTAGTCATCGTATCACAGTTGCGTAAATAGATGCTCATGATGTTGATCACTGGATTGTTGGGTCCAGACTCGATTATTTACAGACCTCCGCCATATAGCTGGAATATTGCTGAGTGCGGCGCAAAACAACAAATAAGCAATATAAGAAATAAAACCATTGCTTTGCAATGAGTCGTAATAAAGTTAACATACAGTTTTAACTGCAATCCTGAAATGAATACTCTAGTATTGCATTGATAAACATATTAAAGACGCATTTAGTCTGTCATTCACATGCCATCGTGTCGCACATAACATTCGTTCAAAACCACCAGCGTTACGGTACAGTAACCTGAACCTATCTAACCTTTAAATAGAACAGCGTAGACATATTCTCACACACGCCCAATACAGCTACCCGTTCCCGGGATTTCGCAATAGCTATTGATGGTCTGATACCCTGCATTTCATTTTAACTTGGCTGGAAGACAGAGGTTGTTTGCCGTACTCTGACAAAATGTGGAAACTTTATACAATTGTCATACTTTCAGGTAAGACTAGTTGTTTATCTTCTAGCATCATTTGTCAAGGGCGAAGATGATGTATGTTATGTGTGTTGTGAATATATCGTGTGTGTTGTATATGATGTAGGGTGAATATGTGGATATCTTTGTGTTGTAAATATAAATTATACGCTGAGTTTTGTGGAAATACTGTATATTCTGTGTGGTAAAAACACTGTACATGCTGTGGTCGGTGAATATACTGTATATGCTGTGGTTGGTGAAAATACTGAACATGCTGTGTGTGGTGAAAATACTATTCTCTGTATGGTGAATATGATGTATATGTTATGTGTGGTGAAAATAATATAAGCTGTGTGTGATGAAAATACTGTATATGTTGTGTGTGCTGAAAATACTTGATATGCTGTGTGTGGTGACAATACTGTATATGTTGTGCGTGGTGAAAATACTGTATATGCTGTGTGGTGAAAATGCTATATATGCTGTGTGTGATGAAAATACTGTATATGCTGTGTGGTGAAAATACTGCATATGCTGTGTGGTGAAAATACTGTATATGCTGTGTGTGATGAAAATACTGTATATGTTGTGTGTGATGAAAATACTATATATGCTGTGTGTGATGAAAATACTGTATATGTTGTGTGTGATGAAAATGCTATATATGCTGTGTGTGATGAAAATACTGTATATGTTGTGTGTGATGAAAATACTATATATGCTGTGTGGTGAAAATACTGTATATGCTGTGTGGTGAAAATACTGTATATGCTGTGTGGTGAAAATACTATATATACTGTGTGTGATGAAAATACTGTATATGCTGTGTGGTGAAAATACTGTATATGCTGTGTGGTGAAAATACTGTATATGCTGTGTGGTGAAAATACTGTATATGCTGTGTGGTGAAAATACTGTATATGCTGTGTGGTGAAAATACTGTATATGCTGTGTGGTGAAAATACTGTATATGCTGTGTGGTTAAAATACTGTATATGCTGTGTGGTGAAAATACTGTATATGCTGTGTGGTGAAAATACTGTATATGCTGTGTGGTGAAAATACTGTATATGCTGTGTGGTGAAAATACTGTATATGCTGTGTGGTGAAAATACTGTATATGCTGTGTGGTGAAAATACTTTATCCAGCCTCATGTGAGAATGTCGAATTTTGATTGGTTCACGTGACTCTGATAAATTACTATGTACACCCGTCACGATCCGCGAGCAGGGAGTACAAAAAAGTCATATTATCCCGCCACGCCTCGGTGACCACGCGAAGTGAGAAAAGCGTGCATCGCCAAGCCTTTAGTAACGTGCGCTACATTGAGGTCAGTCGATCAGCTGTTGTCAACATGGCAGCAAGGAAACGTTTTGCCACAACAACTGAGAATGAAATTGAAGCAAAACGTTGTTGGAGTTAGTAAAAACATTCGGCTAGATACTCGGGAAAAAATGCGTTATCACATCGTATCTCGGGAAATACAGTGATTTATCAGTCCCTCATAAGGTTTTATACATCCTTACTCGGTACTGATAAAAACCCCGTATTTCCCTGGACACGATGTGATAACTTATAGTATATGCTGTGTGGTGAAAATACTGTATATGCTGTGTGGTGAAAATACTGTATATGCTGTGTGTGGTTAAAATACTGCATATGCTGTGAGTGGTGAAAATACTGAATCTGCTGTGTGTTGTACGTTAACTGTGTCATGCATCTAGTTACTATGCTGTTAATGGTGCATATCCTTAGTGAGCTGAGTACTTTGTTCTCGGCGCGTATGTTTAGTCTGGTGTTGTAATGTTCGCTGTGCATAGTGTATATATTGTACGTTGTGCATTCGCTGGTCATGTAACTCCCTTGCACGTCTCTAGTTGAAGAACAGTGCTTTGCTGTTCCGTATAGTGTGTGTGATTGTTTCATACATTGGTTATTGTATATTTATTTGGCGTGTTGTATATCAATACAGGTGTTTCTAACGAACAACAGTGACTAAGCGAGCATCATATGACATGCCATAACGCTACAATTATTCACAATTAGATTCTAAAATCTGTTCCAATGACTTTTGTGATTGACACATCCTTCAGCATGTGCAGCTACAGCAATGTCCCAGAGTGAATGCAACGTCATCGACATAAAAGCCTGCACCACCAGCTTCACTGAGTCGACCCCCCAACGGAACAGCGACCGAAGACACATGCAGGTGTGACAACGTTCCAACGTGTAAAGCGACAAAACTCTTTGAGCAATTCCAACTATATATATTCTAATTGTGTGTTTATGACTCAGTATAATATATCTGGATTACGCTACTGTAAGTATATCAGGTGTTCGTGACCATCATGGCTGTCACAAACACATGCAAAGGCACGTCAATTGGTCACCTGAAAAAACACGAGAACATAACATAATTGTCGAAATAATACAATTATTGATAACGAGGAACTTTTAAATGATTTTATTTCTATTCGTCTTTTACGCTGATATAGAAATGTTATGATTGTAAATGAAACAAAACAGTAGTTTCGTGTGCTTTCCGCTACTGTATATGGTTGGAACAACTATTCCAGTGCGATCAGGATCTACATTTTAGTATATACAGCCTGCCCCTTTGGCCCCATGGATAAAGTGTATGCTGGAAAGCAGAATATCGGAGGTTCGATCCTCGCCATCATAACAAACGTTGATAGATGCTGGTTGTGGTTACCCGGCCTAGCACATGTCACTGGGGGTATAAACCACCTGACGGCTCAGAGTTATAACACTGCGTGTGAATGTAGCTATAGTACCCATGTTATATCCATAACCACTTGTGATTATCACGTCGTCATATGAGTGAAATATTCTCAAGCACGACGTAAAACCCAATTTCACCTCACCTCACTTGTGATTATCGTTCATGACGGTGGGGTAGCCTGGAGGTTAAAGCGTTCGCTCGTTACGCCCAAGACCCGGGTTCGATTCCATACATGGGTACAATCTCTGAAGCCCATTTCTGGTGTCCCCCGCCGTGATATTGCTGGCTAATTGCTAAAAGCAGCGTAAAACCACATTCACTCACTCATATGGCACGTCCTGATTCTCAAAACAGATTCCCTTAACAGATTCCCTTAACATATTCCATTAACTGATTCCTTTAACTGATTCCTTTAACTGATTCTCTGAACTGGTTCCCTGCAGAGCTGCCCACACGTTTGTGATGTGTCTCAACAGACTGACAGCGTGTATTAACAACCCTGCCTTCACGCAAGCCAGACAGATGATGGAATCAAGGGACCTGGACCATTCGTGTAAGAAATATATTCTATTCAGTATTTTCACCAATGCCTGACCACCCGATCCCGTTTGTCGCCTCTTACTTCTCTTATAACTATATTAAATCACAAAAGTGTGCATATATCGATGGGGGCGGTGGGGTAACCTAGTGGTTAAAGCGTTGGCTCGTCACGCCGAAGACCCGTGTTCGAATCCCCACATGGGTACAATATGTGAAGCCCATTTCTGGTGTCCCCCGCCGTGATGTTGCTGGAATATTGCTAAAAGCGGCGTAAAACCAAACTCAGTCAGTCAGTCAGTACATATATCGATGACACTATTTTCATATCAATAATCCTTAATAACGTTTCCTATCAACGGTATTTCCGATTATCGATCTATTATCCAGCAATAGTCTCTTAATGTTTACATGTCGACAAAACGGTCGTTGGAATTACATTTTGTAAACAGAAAAGTTTCCAGCCAACACTTGGTTACAAGGGCTTTAAATGGTAAATATTACATACCTGGTCAGGTGTAAATTGTTGTTATGCTCTAGGTCAATAGCGTTACATTGTATCATGTAATAATAATAACTACATCTTAATGACTTATTTGCAGGTCCAATAGCAGTCCCATACCCGTACGCCAACTCTGTTGGTACTCCAGCCATCATGACGGTCTACCTACTGGTCACTCTGTTGATGCTCTGTATCTTTACCTAAATAAAACATTATGTCCAGAATACAGAGAGGATATTTGAAGATAAAATATATTTTGCAATAATTGGTCTGTGTGTATTTATTAATAAGTTCGAATGATACTGGGCGCACGATTGGATAATGTTGAGCATATTCCAACATACGAGCATATTCCAATGACATACAGCCTTAACATTCTAAAGGTTTGTGTCGTGTTTGTGCCGCTGTCATCCTTCAAGGAATGTTTGTCAAATCTTCATTTTTGAGTGAGTGAGTTTAGTTCTACGCCGCTCTTAGCAATATTCCCGCAATATCCAGGGGGACACCAGAAATGGGCTTTGCGCATTGTACCCATGTGGGGAATCGAACCCGGTTCTTCGGCGTGACGAGCGAATGCTTTAACCAGTAGGGTACCCTATCGCCCCTTTTCGTGTTTGAATATGTATGTTATGAGTTCCTTTTCTATATCGTCCCCAAGTAATATGTGACATTCTGTCGGTGTAGTGGCAGTTCTCAGAGGTGAGGTGAGGTGAAATTGGGTTTTACGTCGTGCTGGAGAATATTTCGCTCATATGACGACATGCATGTGTGTGTATGTGTATGTGCGGCTGCTTGTACTAGCCCAGATTTAACTGGTTTTATAGTGCTAGCTCACTGAAATACCATGCCGCAGTGAAGCATGAATACCCCACTCAGACACAGTATACTGACTCCGAGCCGACCAGTCCTTGTTGTACCCATTAATGCCGAGCGCCAGGCAGGGACCAACAAGTACCATAGTTTAACGTCTTTTTGGGATCGAACCCGCGACCTTCCGCTCTCCAGGCGGACGCTCTAACCACTACACCACGTTCTCAGAGACTGATTGAAGGTTTAGCTGTATGACAGGAATTCAGTAATCCCGATACTGTTATTGGTAACATTGTTACACCAAGTTCGGTTGTTACCCCGAACTGGTCAGATCACATCCATCTGTGTTCATAAATACAAGTCTTCACCTACGGCAAACATGGGGTATTTGCCATTATTTACCATGGAATCTGTCGAGTCATGTTTGTTTGTTTGTTTGTTGTTAAACGACACACTCAGCAATATTCCAGCTACATGGTGGCGGGTCCAGACAATCCAGTCATCAACATCATGAGTACCGTTATACGCATTTGGGATCCGATGACATGTGTCAATCAAATCAGCGAGCCTGACCACCCGATCCCGTTAGTCGCCTCTTACGATAAGCATGGGTTGCTGAAGATCAATTCTAACCCGGATCTTCACGAGAAAGGGTCATGAAATCTGTATTGTTCTTTATTAATTTTGATAAAGTACGGGTACATTACGGGGCCATTCCCCTCTACCAGGTTGGACCGTTCTTGACACTACCGTAATTATAAATTGAGTAAGTCATAGTAGCAATTTATGACATGGTTTGAGACAATACACATACGTCACTTGTTTCACATAGCATGCATTAACGTGTATTCAGGTATGGGATACTTTTGGGGCTTGTGGAATGTTGCCTCTCATCCGCCACAGTCCAAGATAAATAGAGATTACCACATGCGTGGCTGTCAGATACCAATCGTAGTGGCGCAATAATACACAACACAACGCAGTCGTAACTACTCGTCTCTTTCCGTAGCCGGAAAGAAGACGCGTACCCCTCTCGTAGCCATTTTACTGAACTTGACTGTCTGAGCGCAAAAGCGCAGAGAGAAAGAAATAGTCTAGTCGCCGGACTATTTTCAAGGGCATGTAACTCTAGTTTACTTGGAAAACAAACATGGCATCCACGCCAATTACCTAAAAGGATATGTTTAAATTACCTAAAAAGGATATGTTTAACATGCTTAAATACTTTCCTACGCCATAATATTAAGTGAGACGATGGGCTGGACAGCATCGTTTGTGGTTGTTACGACATTGACATGGTGTTGTGTTCTCCGACGAGTCACGTTTTCACTTGCGAAATGCTGACGGGCGTCTACGGGTATGGCGTCGACGGGGAGAACGTTACCATCAGGACTGTGTTGTGCAAACAGATCGGTGGGGTGGAGGCAGCATTATGGTTTTGGGAGGGATCAGTTATCATCACAAAACCGCTCTGGTAGTTAGTCGTGGCAGAGTGAATGCCCTTTACTACCGCGACACCATTCTTCAGAACAACGTCGTTCCCTTCTTTAACCAACATTAAGATCTGCACACGTTCTAGCAGGACAATGCTCGATCGCACACTGCACAACATTCCTCTACTTCCATGGCCTGCATTGTCACCAGATTTGTCTCCCATTGAACACTTGTGGGATTACATCGGCCAACGCCTCTCACGTCGCCCACAGATCAACAACCTTCGGTAACTTGAGAATGCCTTGCAACAAGATGCGCATATATATCCTGGTTATAGAAAAAATCAGGAAACCCAGGAGGACCATGCAGTAATTAAACTTTACTTGAAGTGTCTGGGGAAAATATTATGCAAGCCGAAATGAAAATTATTTCAACTAACTATTTTGACCCAATTTTGTCTCTACATACGCGCATTCTGATTGGCTGGGGGAATATTTCTCCCGGACATGACGACGAGAGGGGTACGAGCCTTCTTTTCGGGTTACGGAAAGGGACGAGTAACCACGAATGAACACAACGTTTATGAATGAGTGACGTCACTGCTCCGTAGTCACTACTCATACCAAAGGTGAACAAAGAGGTTTCTGCCACATGTCTGCTTTATTAAGTCGATAACAATGATGCAAACTAGACAAGATTAAAGAAAATTCAATCAACACTCTAAAACGACCATATTGCAACGCAAACGTAAAATTTAGATGATTTTCCTTCTTGCAAGCATAATGGTGTCGTCATCAGAGGATTTGTTTGGATATCTTTGCACAAACGTTTACCGTCACTGTCTCTCCCATGGACATAAGCCAGAACTATTGAGTGTCTGCCATTAAGCGTACCCCGAGTTAGTCTCTTCTTCATTTCCAAACTGCTTATTACTATTCTTATTCTGAGGATCCAGTTGTCAATATTTTAACTATACATGTATTACCTTTCAAATCTGTTCAGACAGACAGTCGAGATTGTCTTTTTATCTGAGGTGGACGTTGTATGATTGGACTTTGGTCTTGATTTCGTCACCCACACAAGCACACCTTTCTATCATATTTCGCAATGAGCATTTCACAATATTTCTAAATCATGCCCGCTTGGGGGCAACTTCAGGGTTATTGTGCTTGGCTCATGGTAGGACGGTGTCTTCGGAACTAGAGCAACATTTCAGAAACGCCCTTTATGCATGCTTTGTTGAGGGCATGGGTGTGATGGGGTAATCGCATACTGGATTTGTTCACATGGTGATTTTGGTATGTTGAGGTTTTTAAGACTCAGTGAAAAGAGAGACGGCTGAGAGGGTTAGATCGCTGACTTTGTGTGCTGGCAATTAGGTGCTTCTCTCTGAAAGTGTGGGTTCGAATACCGAATGAGACTCATCTCCAAAACGTAAACAAATCTGTAAACAACTGAGAAAGTGTAATCCCAAATATAACATGTGTTACATTTGACATCTTTCTTAAAGGTATGTTGTGTTCAGGATTGTACATGCAAGAAGGAAACGTTTGTTACTTTTGAAGTTTAAATCGATATACCTGTTAGGACAATCAGACAATTTTCCTTTAAATACGACATTCACTACTAACATGTCGGTAGGGCTAGTGTTCAGTCAGCACATGTTGCACAGTTGTTTAATCTTTAGCTGATGCTCGAGGAAACGTCCAGTTGTATTCACAATGTACACCGCGCACAATGTGGTGATACTAGGGCTGGCTGAAATGATCGATAATCGAAAATATCGTCGATAGGAAAACGTACTAATGAATATCGATATAAAAATAGCGTCATCGATAATATCATTCACACACTTTTGTGATCTAATAAAGTTGTAATTTATTCACACAATACACAAAGTTCGGTTTTGATTGATGAGTTGCTTCTAAATTATGTTCAGGACGTTGTTCTGTTAGTAACCCATGGCTACATGTCACCACTCACCAGTGATGTGATATCTATGCATTTCTTTGAGACCTTTTTGGCGTTTTTGGTTAGTTATTTTCCCTATATTTATCGATAATCGATCGATATTTAACTAACGATTATCGATTCTATATCGATAGCCAGACAGGTAATACTGTACAGCTGATGAGGTTACCTATTACTGGATCCTGACGAGCCGTTGCTGTTGAGTTTGTATATGATACCCAACAGATTGTTGTCCACCAGAAACGTCACAATTGTTGTGTATCAATACATACAACATCACGTAAGACAGGGGCATCAACATATTAAATACTGCTCTTTGGAAAAAGTAGATTTGTGTGTCTGTTCGCCAATATGACATTTCGAAAGCATCCAAACATGCAGATCATCAGTCAAACGAAAGAAAAATGTGTGAATAAAAATGCACTTGTAAAATATTTAATATATTACTCAAACTGATAGTAATTTAGGGTATTTTTATAAATGACTAATGTATGTCGCATGTCAATACTGTTGACCCTGTCAAATGTTGTATACTAAGAACAGGACTAGTGGCTTATGCGGACGCTTCATGTAGTGTTGGAGCTATAGATCTTGTTCTGTCTCTCCATCGACGAAGGGAATTATGTGGAGGTATATGCCAAGGCATACGACATTGTTCATGGCTCCATCTTTATGACAAGGCGTGATGTTAATGACTCAATGCCGTTTGGTATCATATATCTACCCGATGATAATACAAGTCACGTGTTTCTGTTTTTAATCAAACAACACGATATACAGTTACTGATTATTCCCTTAAATCAGTGGGTGGTTTCAAGATTCAACCTGTGGCGACAACCAATACAATATCTAACAACTGATATATTCAGTTCTATGAGTGATAGGTTTCAAAATGTCACCATTCCGTAAGTTCATGTATGTACTGAACAGTATTAAATCTAAGTAAGTATCCATTTTAGCATTTAAACTTTACCCATCGTATTAACTATAATATTATCATCATGTATTGTGTATTACTATAATACAACCTTGTGGAATTATTTATCTACA